AATAGTTCAGTTTTAGACCTTAGGAAGTAAACAAAGTGTCAATAGGTGTGTTGCTTCAGAGTGAGAACTTAAACACCCACCCAACAGCTCACCACAAACAAACTGTTTCCATCTACATGAGGACTGACAAGCCACAGCTGCAGCCAACAAGTTCTACGCAACTCTTACATGAGGTCTTACACTCTTCTGAAGTCTCCTGTGATGGGACTTACTAATTAGAAGAGATATGCTTTAAGAGCTGAGATTAAGAAATTTTGAAACAAATTGTATGGTTTTGTTTTTTTCCCTCATTCTGGTTTTATAAACCCCTCTCTGCCCTTAATCAGAGAATGCCAATGTTTTATCCAAAATCTATGTTACCAGTTAGGACATTACTTTGAATGCTTCTTTTGACATCTTACTTTATAAAACAGCTATTAGGCAGTGTCAAGTGTTGAGAAAAATCTAAGTATATCCAAAACTTCCACATTTTTTTTCTTTCATCTGAATCTGAGTAAGTGCTTCCTGAACCAGATGCAGAATTGATTGCTTCTTTGAATTTGTTGCTTGTTTGTCTATTTCTTTTGATGGGAAACAGTTCCCTGGTACTTTTAATTTCATGGGAAAAAAAGAGAAACATTATTGTGTAACATCTTTGGTTAAATCCATGATTGAATTTGTAACTATCATCTAAATCACAACTGTAAAATGATACCCTGCTTGTCAAACAACCATGCAGTATCTAAACTCATAATACAATTGCAAAGATATTGGGTAAAAAATACAGATTGAATTAAAACAATGTGTTGAATAAGAACTGAAAAATCGCATTTCTCTAATGGCAAATATTTCCTCACTTGCTGGAGCTACAAAATGATCATCTCAACTCCTCAGAGAAGGCCAGAGCGAGATCCTGTAAGGAACAATCCTAGTCGACTCTTAGGAAAGTTCTGTTGGTGGAACTGAATGACCAATAAGAATCTGGTTACTCAATTTAAAGTAATGTCAGGATCTTTAACTCCAGGACAAGAATATTCAAAGGGAGAAATTTAAATGATTTCCTATTGCTAGATCTACTTGTGTAATCTTTACATCAAAGAAAGTATTGGATAAAGCAGAATTTCTGATGTATAAATTGCTACATCAGTGAAGTAGTGGAATGTCCCAATGCTTCATTAGGATTAAATGTACTGGTACTGGGAAATGTGTACTCATACACTTAATGAGACGTTCAATTAAACACTAGAATATGCATGTGATATGTGCTCAATAAATGTTAAAATGTTCCCCACTAAATCAAATCATTAAAATGAAAATTGGTAAAGTTCCAGTCACTTATTTTGCCTTTTCTTTCACAAACTTCAGGATAACAAAATAAAAGGTGGCAGTTACTTTCTAAAATATAAAAACAGAGATTATGTGATAGCAGTTACACAAACTTATATACAAGACAAAATTGCATAAAGCTATACACACACTTACAAATAAGTGCATATAAAACTGGTGACATCTGGGGGCGCCTGGGTGGTTCAGTGGGTTAAAACCTCTGCCTTTGGCTCAGGTCATGATCCCAGGGTCCTGGGATCGAGCCCCGCATCATGCCCTCTGCTCGGCGGGGAGCCTGCTTCCTCCAATCTCTCTCTCTGCCTACTTGTGATTTCTGTCAAATAAATAAATAAAAATCTTAAAAAAAAAAAACAAAAACTGGTGACATCTGAATAGTTTATGGATTGTATGAATGTCAATGTCTTGGCTTTGATATTATACTTAAATTGTGTAAGATATTACCATGGGGAAAACTGAGTGAAGGGTGCCAGGGGACTACCTCTATTGTATTAATTTTACAACTTTTGTCAATCCATATGCATTGCAACATAAAAAGTAATAAAAAAAAAGAGAAAGAGAGAGATTAACTAGAAGAAAGTATAGTTATTCTCTTTGTATTAGCGCCAGCTATCTTCATTTCCCTTTCTCATATCTCAGCTACACTACCCTCTCTCTAACGTGGAGCCTACTTAAAAAAAAAAATAATAAGGAAAGAAAGAAAAAAAGAAATAACAAATTCAGAGACAGTGGATTTGCTAAATATTTTCAAATCAAAGCTCTTACAAGTCATGGCTCATCTGTTATAACATTCTTCCTTGATGAATCAGGACTTGAATTGATTACAATTGGTACACAAGAAGTTCACTCTTTTTTTCCCTGTGCTTCAAAATGAACTTTTATAGGTTGATCAGTGGTAGACTCATTCATAAAGACCTATCTTAAGAAAAACATAAAGGAAATAAAACAAACAAACAAAAAACCAAACACTGAAAAGGGGCCAACAATTTCCCAAATTTCATCTTTCTAGAAATTTAGTGCCTTGGATTTCCTTTAGATGATCATTACTCTTCATTTTATACCGCATTGTTTTTAGTAAAGTTGGCCGCACTCCAGTATCCAAATTGACACCAACCAATTCAAATCAATCAATGTGTCTTATCTACTAGCCACAGAATCTGCATCTGGCCTAATCAGTGTCAGCAAGATGGAGATGGATCCTTAGATAACTCTTTAGGACTTGAGGAAAATAAGCTAGACACGAATGAGTTTGTAGTATATTGTTCTAGTTATGTAAATTTCAAAAATGGTTTGAATTTTTGCATTTTGCAGTTTGCATTTGAGGTGAAGATAATTTTGGAAGCAAGATGGAGGTGATATCTGGAAGGAGAAAGAAAGTAGTAACTACCAGGTTAGGTAAGGAAAGATCTTGAGGGTGCTGGAAATGTTCTATTTCTTGATGGGAGTGGTAGCTGCAGGTATTTCCTTTGACAATTCATTAGAATTTTTGCCTTTATTACATTTCGATATGTATGTTTCATTTTATTTAAAAAATTGGGAAGAGAAATGTGTGTTGAATTTTTTCTGTCTTATTTAGGTTTTGTTTTGAGGCATGTCTATTATCTATTTCTCACTTTACAGTAACTACAGCTCTGTATTTCCAAATCTAATTTATCCCACAAGCTCATGCTCAAATTTCAATTTTAATATGAGTCCTTTCTTTATTTCTTTCTGAAGTTGCCTCTCCCTTCTCTGTTTCTTTGTTCTGCTCCAGAGTGGATTGGGAATAGATTCAATGATACCACTTTTGTAATGAATGAAGCACAAATGAGAGAGAGCTGGGGTCTCCTGTGATTTCCAGAATTTTAGTATATTAGAGTAGATAGAGAGTAGAGCTCAATCAATATTTTCTCAAACCGAGTGTCACACATTTTCCATTCGGTGATATTGAAAAATACCTCAACACTGAGCTGAATACCTTTGATTTGGTTGTTAGATGTTGAATGAACTTTGAAAAAATTATCTGATTGTTCTTTGCACCCTAAAGTAGTCATTATAGAACTGACATAAGGTGCCTTACCAAATTACATGAATAACATAAAATTCAGGTTTCTGGGAAAAGGTTAAGAAACTCTTTTTTTTTAATTAAAAAAATTTTTTTTAAAGATTTTTATTTATTTGACAGACAGAGATCACAAGTATGCAGAGAGGCAGGCAGAGAGAGAGGGGGAAGCAGGCTTCTTGCCAAGCAAAGAGTCCGATGCGGGGCTCAATCCCAGAACCCTGGGATCATGACCTGAGCCGAAGGTAGAGGCTTTAACCACTGAGCCTCCCAGGCGCCCTGGTTAAGAAACTCTTAAGAAAATTTACAATGAATAAAAATGGACCATTAGCAAATATTAAAATACAGACACTTGTGTTTTTATGAAAATAAATTATTTTAATTATGAATAAAAAATACATATTCAGTGTTCTTCCCAGATGATGTTTCATTTAAATAAAGTGAGTAGGTTCATGTTTCATACTTAAGGTGATTAGAGATAAAATAGGTAATCATAATTCTAACATGCCGCTTCAAAATAGAGTAGAATTTCATCCTTATCCATTGTTTTATGCAACAACCAATTAAACTTTGAATCACAACTATTTTAACTCATTTCTACCATTTTTTAAAAAATAATGGGGCCTTTTTGCATCTCTGAAATAATATGTGGAACCATATTAGAGGTATGAATATAAAAACTAGTACATCCTTTTAAGAAAAGAAGTTCTTGCTATGCCTGCATTTGAAACTTCAGCTGACTCTAGAAACTCTAAGACAAGTGCTTTATCTTCATAGTTTCATTGAATTCAAATGTCTGAAGATGGGACGTTCTAATTACTTAGGAAGAAACTGTTGCTTAAGGCATTTATGTTCTGGTGTATCCTAAGATGAATACACTTTGATGGTGATTTATAAACCATAAGTGAATGGGCAGAAAGAGAGGGAGAGGAAAAGGGAGAGAAATGAGTCATGTGATTACTTACTTATTATAAGAGATAATTGTGGGGGAAAAAAAAAGAGAAAATCATGTTGGAGCATGAGGTTAAATAGCGGAGTCAGATGACATTCATTTACTTTACTCAAAATGCAGTGAGCCCAGATTTGCATAGGCAAAAGCAAATCTATAACGCTGTGTAATTGGGGCTGCTGGGACTGGGACTTAACTTCGTATGTGTTTCTAACCAGGGCTTTATGAATTCCTACTATCTTAAGTCAGACATTCACTTAGTACTTGGTTTTTGGAGGATGACTCCACTTTCTCTCATAATTTGTTAAGTGTCAGGTAGTTCTGGTGCTCTTCTTAGTTCTTTTTTTTTAGTTTACTCAGGTAACACCAAAGCAGTTTTATAGAATTGTCCTCAAGGTAGAGCCTCAGGGTGTGAAATTTGAGACGTGAAAACAAAGGAAACAGGGTAACAATTCATCTCCCAGATTCCCAGTAAACTCGAAGGATGAAAACCATAAATTTCCCCTGTTTTCCAAATGGTTTTTAAGATGGTTTTGATATTCACATATTTAAAAAAATCCCTCTCATTTTCTTTTATGATAATCAAAGGGTTTGCATTACACATGTCCTGTGGTGATTTCCTGTGTTGTGGTTCCTGGAACATTTTAGAAGCTAGTGACTTTACTGCTTCTTGTTCATATGATACATTCATCTATAGAAGATTCGAGAACATTGTTCAAATAAATAATTTTTCTCTTTTTTTTTTCTTTTAAATTTCTTCATGCACGACTTTTGGGTTGTTTAGCCTCCAGCTCAGCTCTGTGAACCAACACACCACCATCCTTCTTGATTAAGCACGTACTGTGTGTTGCCGGCATCGACACTGGAACATTCCTCATGGCAGGTATGTGAGTTCCGAGTCATAAAATTTTTAAAAATGAAATGAAAGAGAAAAGGCATCTCAGGGATATGGCTAATTTCAGGGCAGCGCTTTTAGGAAGAAATGGACATTTTTAGGCTTTCCATGTGTCCGTGCTCTCCACTTCTGATTCTTTATCTGTAACTTAGAAATGATTTAGTGAAACTTTTCCAGCAGGTTTAAAGAGTGGCTTCTGACAATGATAAGCTCTAAACTCTGAATGCAAACTGAATTTACCAGATTAAGTTATGAACAACATAATGCTAGCACCGAAGTAAATTAGTGACAATGCTTACAAGTGTTCTTTTAAAAATTTACCATTTGTGTTATGACACCCTAAGTCACCTAGATTAATAGTATGTCTGTTAGTGACTCTTTGGGAGAGTGCTAATGTTAATGCCACATCTCCTAACATTAATTTGTTTTAGGGTAAATGCCAAAAAGCAGTAATTTTTGGTATGAGAAAGCGTAATGTTCTTGAAAAAAAATGGTTGCTAATATATCATAACTTAATGTACGGTGAAATGAATCCAGGTCCCCAAGGTATTACCCATACGTCACACCAGGCTGGGAGTGTTCCTCTGTCTTCTCTTCCTTATCAAAAAACCTCTACAAAGCTACAAGCAGCTGGACATTTCGTAGGTAGAGAATGTACTGAGGTGACTAGAAGGGCACATTTCCAAGTACTATTGCGGCAATGATAGAAGATGCTAAGTAAAAGACTCTGGGTCTAGACAAACTTTCATTTGATTTCTGACTTGGATACTGACTAGCTTTGATACCTGGAGAAAATAACATTATTAATGGATCTGACGTTTTCTTATCTACTTAATGGGAATCATATTATCTTGTGATTCTTGTTATGTAAGTCTATAAAACACAACTTGATGCCTGCTGATGTCTTCTTACTCTGGATCTCTAAGCTTCTTTGTGGAATTAAGAAATAAATGGTAAGTCCACTTTACTGGGACAGGACTGGTAAAGGAGAAAAGTTATAGATAATTTCAGTAATGAATAAATTACGGCACATAAAAATTTGGATATTGGAGCAAGTTCTGAAGGGAATATTTTCATTTTTCAGCGTTTCATTGGCAAGATTATTGAGTTATCAAACCAAAGGATGTTTGGATTCTCTCTCACTGTATTACTTCTAAGAAGTTTGTTCTTTAAATAATCACTGTATTTCTCTTTCACTACAGCTTCTCAGACCACTCCATGGAATTTGATTTCTGGGATCTTAGGAGTAACGTGCCTTATTTTGTTGGCTATTATGGGAATTTTGTTGAAAAATTGTAAGTTTTTCTAGGCAAGTTTGTATAAAGACCATAACTATAGTGAAACCATTCAATAATAAATGTTTCATTTTACTAATGTGTAATATTTTATTATTTCATAAACTTGTATCTAATGAAGTAAATTATTAATCATTTCTTACAGTATATCCTAAACAAAGTATTCAGCCAACATCGTCTCTAGATGCAATCAGCGAAGTCCAGAAAGGTAGGTTCCATACTTTGGAAAATCTTAGTTTTGGTAGTTTCTGTTTTTCTCACACTGAGCATGATGGAATAGCACACTTAAGAATACAGTTTTACCGGGGTGCCTGGGTGGCTCAGTGGGTTAAGCCGCTGCCTTCGGCTCAGGTCATGATCCCAGGTCCTGGGTTCAAGCCCCACATTGGGCTTTCTGCTCAGCAGGGAGCCTGCTTCCTCCTCTCTCTCTGCCTGCCTCTCTGCCTACTTGTGATTTCTCTCTGTCAAATAAATAAATAAAATTAAAAAAAAAAAAAGAATACAGTTTTACCTACTAATTGTAGGATAGTCATGTTTCATTTTTCTCTAATGTAAAAAGCATTAAATTACAGTGAACATGGGTCATTTACATATTTAAGTAATAAGGAAAATATTAACCTGAAATGACATTTTTTTTCCTATATGAGTGCTCATGTTTAAGTAACAAATAAAAAAATAAGTTACAGTAAATATTATGGTTAATCCTAATTACCTGCTGGTTTGCTCATAGCTCATATTTTTATATCTCTTCACCTTTGCTTCTGCTTCTTGCATGACTCAGAATATAGTGAAGAGATTTCTGTTATTTTAAACCCACTTATCCAGTGGAAGCCAGCTCAAAGTCCAATTTTTTTAAGGTATTTTTTCCAAATGATCTCCAAACTGTCTCACCATCTTCTGTGATCATATTTGTCTTTTTTTTCCCTTAACATTTTTTTCCATCCGTATTGAGATATTATTGACATATAATGTGTAAGTTTATAGTAATCAACAGGTTGATGTGATACACTTATAGTTGCAAAAGGATTATTACCATAACATTTGCTAATGCCTCTATCATGTCACAGAATTGCCATTTCTTTTTTTATGGTGAGAGCCCTCAAGATCTACTTTTTTAGCAACTTGCGGGTACATAATACAGTATTGCTAACTATAATCATAACTGTGTGCATTAGGTCCCCAGAACTTATTCACCTTCTAACTGGAAGTTTGACCCTTTGACCAATATCTTTCCATTTACCCCACCCTCCCGCTCCTAGTAAGGACCACTCCACCCTACACTTCAGAACCGTTCATTTGACAAAGATTTGAGTACCTACCATGTGTCTTGACTTTTATCACTGAGGAGAGTAAATGTTCAAGACACTATCACTGGGAAATTGTGTAGTATCAGACTTCAAGCTCATTGTTTTATTTATCTCTATTTTGAAAATAAAATATCCAAACATCGGAATTCTCCAATTTGTGCTATATTCTTTTCTGACTCAGGAAATATGCTAAAATATTTTCCTTTACATATCTCTTTCATCTCATTTATTCTTATTTATACAGCAGAGCTCAATTTGGGGTCATTTCCTCAAAAAGATTCTTCAGCCGCCCTCTAATTTACACTCTGCTACCCAGTGTTTTAACATACTGACTTACTCTTGTGTATACTTACCAAAATTATCATTAAATCTATTTGATAAATGATTGGAAATTATATTGTTCTGTCTCTCTATATCTTGAATATAATCTCTATTAGGAAAAAGAGTATGTCTGACTTGTTCACATTAATAGCCCCTGAACTGTTGTATGTGTAGTAGATTCTCAAAGAATATTTGTGGAAAATAGTGAAGAAATAACAAATGATTTTTGAATGAGTAAATAACATTGAAAAAATTGAATGTCGTAAGTCTTTTTTCTTTTTTTCTTAGGCTCTAACTGTTGTTCTTGTCCAAAAGGCTGGATTGGGTACCAGTGCAACTGCTACTTCTTTTCTAGTAAATTAAAAAATTGGACAGAAAGTCATAGGTTCTGTGCTTCTCAGAATTCCAGTCTACTTCAGTTTCAAAACAAAGATAAATTGGTATGTAATTAATTCTGATTTCCTACATTTTCTTTGACCTAGGAAAATATGCTATCTAAGTAAGCTGAATAATTTGTCTTTAATTATAGTAAATGGATGGTTATTATTTGAACTGACTTGCTAATTTGCTATATCTTGAAACAATCATTATAAAACCTACATAAAATTTCTCAAAGATTTATATTATAGGAATAAAAATCAAGTTACAGTCCAGATAAAGTACAAGCAACATTTTAGAGAGAATTCAAAGAACGAATAATGGGCCATTATTTTTACTCAAAGACTAATAAAATAACTTTATAATTTTTAGTTCATTAACTGGACTTATAATTTCTTTTGTAAATACATCTTTTGTCATCATTCTGGGATTTAATGTGCAATAAGTACGGAACGTCTGATAAAAAAATTACCCAACTTAAGAAAAAGTGAAAAATTTCTCTAGCTGCATTAAGAAACTGTCTTGAGTATAAGTTAAGTAGACTATATTTATGAAATTTATCCTCCAGATACTGTTGATGTGGGATCAAATTTTATTGTAATCTTCTTTGAAGGAGGTGTTCCGTGAAAACTCTTACTTCCTTCTAATGTTTTCTATTCCTTGAAGTGGTATTCTGTGACATTTATTTGTGTATCATAAATGATATTTGTGGAAATTAGTGAATAAATAACATAAGGAAGAAAAGCATGTAACTATACTTTCGATAAGGAAGAAAATATGAGGCATGTGACTATGTTTTTTAAACTGGACATTAAAAATGATTTCAGTTTCTGTGATTAAAAAGCTAAATTTGATGCTGACACTTTCTTAAAAGTATATTATTCCTGGAATACATTCAAATTTGATTAATATGTTTGTTTCTGTTTCCAATCAGCATTTTATGAGCTCCAGTACATATTTTTACTGGATTGGACTCTCTTACCATAAAGACAAAAAGGCCTGGTTGTGGGAAGATGGCTCCCCTGTCTCCCAAGATCTGTAAGTTTCTGGCAGTCAAGTTCCCTTTTAGCCCTGCCCTGCCCTGTCCTGCCCTACCTTCCCTTTCCCTTCCCTTCCTTTCCCTTCCCTAACATTCCCTCCCCTCCTCTCCCTTCCCCTCCCTTCCCTTCTCTCATCTTACCTTTTTCTCCTCTCTTCTCCTTTCTTTCTCTTTTAGATCTTTATGCATTTACCTGTAGATCTCACCAGCTACTGTAACATCTGGGAGCACTGTAGCTAGGATAACCTATCTAAGTCATGAAAATATAGAAAAGAGAGGCGATCTAACAATTTTAGCTCCATCTAGATCATCCAAATTTATGCTTAAGTGACATGAAGTTAGTGTACTTGTGACCATAACACAGTTTTTATTTTATTTACTTATTTTTTTTGGCCTCATATCAGCCCTTGGATGCCTACGTGCATGTACAGATGCTTACCTTCACAAAAGCTGTGTAGGGAAAATAGCATATTATTTTCTTTTCTTGAGTCTGTTATTTTCAGCATACTCCCATGTTTCAAATATTCTGAGGTTATTTTCTGTATATTTGTAAACTTTGGTCCTCATTTTCATTCATAAACATTGGATTTGCAGCCTCAGACAATGATGAATCTTATGCTTGGATTTGTTTTCCCGGACTTGATTATCCAGTATATCTTTAAACAAGAAGCATACCATATATCAAAACCATTGAAAACAGAAGGAAAAACATGAAATCCTTGTCCTTAATGCTGTTGATTATTGAGGCAGTAGCTGAGTTTTTGTAACACTGTGCTTTGAAATTGTGAAAACATGGCTCTTGCATAAAAATCAATTGACTCAATATGTTAATATCTCATTCAAGTGCTTTAAAAAATTCTATCATTTAATAAAAATACACTATCCTTGAGTAGTCTCATTTCCTTTTTTTATATGTTAACATTTTATTTTTCATTACAGATTGCCATCACTTCAAAAATTAAATACAGAGAAATGCACAATGTATAGCTCAAGCCAAGGTATTTTGGACGAACGCTGTGATAATGAAAGTCGTTTTATATGTATAAAAAGAGCTTATTTATAAATGTGTTTCTTGGAGTGGGCGGGGTGGGCAGTGAAGATTCAGTAGTACTAAGAGCATGACTTTACCTCTTATATTATTGCTAATTATCTACTTCTGGGATCTGTAAAATGTTTCAAATCATGTCTTATGATACAATTTTCATACATTTGAAATCATGTGCTTCAAAATTAGTGAAATTTGGGGCACCTGGGTGGCTCAGTCGGTTAAACGGCTGCCCTCAGCTCAGGTTACAATCCCAGGGTCCTGGGATTGAGCCAGGCATCAGGCTCCCTGCTCGACAGAGAGCTTGCTTCTCCCTCTTTCTGCCTGCTGCTCTGCCTACTTGTGTTCTCTCTCTCTCTGTCAAACAAATAAATAAAATCTTTAAAAAATAAAATAAAATAGGTGAAATTTGTGCACCTATATCTGCCATAACAGTGCCCCAAGGTAAAGAATTTCAGGACTATTGTGATTTAATGGATATGTTCAACATTAAATTTAATCTATTTTATGCATATATTCTTGTGATTTTTTTTGCAGAAATTCAAATGAAATAATTTGCACCAAATGATCTATATCAATGTCATTTCAGAACTTTGTTAAGTCATAGTAAATTGGGAAGTCCCATCTTCATCTTACTTTTCTGGAACTTAGTTCTTTCTGGATATCTATATATCTATAGGTTTCAATTTAGAGGTGTAAGAGTCATATGACAGCTCCCTCATGTGCATCATCAGACTTTAGAGGGGAACATGTTTGTGTTCTTCTCTTGATGGTCCTGAGTTCTGCAAAGTAATTTTGAATCTTGGGCCAAATAGGTGGTTCCCATGTGATTATTTTTAGATTTTGCAAGGGTAAACGGAATCTAAGCCTGATCAAATAAATTTGCAATACTTATTTTTCTGCCCTACATGTCTTTCTTGCCTTATGGTTATACATCAGTAAAAGTCACTGAGATGTAAATTGCAGATCTTATTCGCCAATCAACCCCAAGCCTTTTTCTTAAAAGTTATGTGTAAAGTATTGAACATTTCCTTTTTAATGTTGGGGAGGGAGTAACCCATTTAACTGAGGGGTCCTGAGTGTGTCAGAGAAAGTGTGGGAACATAAAAAGGTCTGATGCCTGTGACCTGGATAGGGTTTTCCTAACCTCACAAATATCAAAAGCCAATTCCCCTTTTAAAAACTGTTGCATATACTTTTTTAAAAAATTCATATTGAAATATCTTTTTGTTTTCTATTTCAATTAAACTATAATAATTAAGAACCTCAAATTGATTCTTAATAAAGAGCCAGGAAGAGAAAAGAGCCAGTGTATTTTAATTCTTAAAATATAAATATAAAGGGGCACCTGGGTGGCTCAGTGGGATAAGCATCTGCCTTGGGCTCAGGTCATGATCCCACGGTCCTGGAATAGAGCCCACATTGGGCTCCCTATTCATTGGCGAGTCTGCTTCTCCCTCTCCCTCTGCTCCTCCCCCTGCTTGTGATTGCTTGTTCTTTCTGTTTAATAAATACATAAAATCTTAAAATATATGTGTGTGTGTGTGTATAATAAGACTACAAACTGCATTCTTCACATTCTCGTATGAAGATTAGGAAAATGCACTTAAGTTATATTATGAAAACCACAAGATAATCTAAATCAAATGTTTAACTTGGACTAGGAGGACACACATTATACTTTCTGGATATATAAAATGTTTTGGCTTTGTGGTGTCTAGGTGGTTCTGTCTGACTCTTGATTTGGCTCAGGTCATGATCTCACTGTTGTGGGATCAAGCCCCATGTTAGGCTCCAGACTCAGCAGGGAGTCTGCTGGAGAGTCTCTCTTTCCCTCTCCCTCTGCTCCTCTTCCCAACTCTCTAAAAATCAATCAATCAATCAATCAATCAATCTCTAAAATGTTTTGGCTTTTTTCCATGTACATTCAAAATAATATATTTTAATTAAACTAAAAAATAGAGATAAACATAATGAAAATTAATTGTTTTCTGTCCCAACTATCCCATCTCCCTGTCCTCTTCCCATAAGGTGATTTCCTCTTGGTTTTTTGTTTGCTTTTCTGCTTGGGGTGGTTTTCTGTATAGTGAACTAAGCATGGTCTATTTTTTATAATTTTGACCACAACGAATCAATCTCAAGTGTTTTTATTTAGCCACAGCCAAGTATAGGTTCAGATTGTTACTTTTCATATCATCACTTTATGAGGTGCCCAGAGCCCTATCTGCCTTTATTGTGAGAACTCAGGAACATGCAAGAGCAATGAGGAAACAGAAGGTGCAAAATATGGTGGGTGATATCTAATTTCAGAGAGTAATCTATGTCAAAAATTGTCTCTACTGAGAGAGAAGAATTCCTGTAGGCTCCCAATTATAGCTCAGGTGTTTTTTCAATTCCCATATCATTTCAGGGCATTTATGATGGAATGTCCTGGATTGAAAGGACGATGCTAGTCCTCTACAGTAGTGTGTCTTTCTCACAGCATGATCCCATCATGTTAGTGACACTGAGTGCATGGTCATCAGACCTGTTTTATTTTTATTAGTCTTCCTCCCACTCTTACCTGCATACTGCTTCCCTTCATCCTGAAAACATCTTTGTCATTGTCTTTTATATAAAGGTCTTTGTATTAAATATCTCTTTTCTCTTCTAACATGATTTCTGATACATTTTCTGGGAGAGAAATGTTATTTTTCTTTTGTTCTTTGCTTTTTTGTTATGAAATGGGCTAATGCACGTGGAAGGATCTAGTTGAGTGAATATCTCAGTGTTGAATGTAAAACTAATGAAAGAGGGTGAGGGAATGTCCACCCTCCCCCCAGTAATGAAATAATATTGCCAAGAATCAACTTATCCTTCCTTAATTTTATACTGTTAGCTAAGTGTGTTACTCTGAATGTATTGGTACATGACAAGTTATGACAAATTTAGAAACTTAAAACAGCACATGTTTGTATGTCATAATCTCTATGGATCAGGAGCTGAGCATGGCTTTGTCCTTAGCTCAGGATTTCACAAGGCTGGAACTAAAGTCATAGCCACACTGAATTCTCATCTGAAATGGAGTCCTCTTCCAAGTTTATTCAGGCTGATAGAAAAATTTAGTTCCTCATGGTTGTAGAACTGAGACACTTGCCTCCCCACTGGTTGCCCATCTGCATAGACAGTCACACCGTGGACCTTTGCTTCTTTAAGGGCAGAAGGAGTGTACTCTTCTCTCTCCCACCTCTAGAGTCTTTTTAAGTATTCAACTGATTAGGTCAGCTGTACCCACATTATTCTCTCTTTGATTAACTGAAAATTGGCTAATTTAGAACCCTAGTTATATTGGAGAAATAGCTTAATCTTTCCATTTAATGTAATCTAATCACAGAGCAACACCCAATCATCTTCGTAAATCTCACTGAAATTCAAGGGCACGTGATCATATGTACATCAGGGAATTTTGAGGTCATCTTAGAGCTGCCTACCATAACAACATAGCCCTAAAAAATATGTTGTAAGTGCTACTTTGTAGTTTATTGAATTTAAACGTTGCCTTTTAATTCCCCGGTAAGATAACAAAGAATTGAATTCATAGATGCCAGGACAAATAATACTTTAAAATTTTTTTCTCCAATGTATTAATTCTTCATTCCTCCACTACTGAGTTTGCCTATTAAAGACAGTTTCTGTGTAGCTGGATTACGACAGCTCTTTGTCTCCAAGGATGCTTGAAGGTTGGTTTTTGACTCTTGGCCAGTGAGCTAGCTAACTAAATAACTAAGTTAGTTAACATAAAAACTAACTAGCATAAAAATTTATGGTAAGTTTTTTGAAGTTCAAACTTCTTGTGTGGAACCTAAAACCAATATATTTATTACATTTTATTTACTTATACTGGAGATAATTAGTTATATATTCTGTTCTTTCTGCTGTATAATTAGTTATATATTCTGTTCTTTCTGCTGTACAGTCAGACTATGCAGGAAACTTCTGTCTGAGCTCTCCTAAAACCAAGTTTCTTCATACAGGAATCAGCACAAATACCAACAGTTTTCTTCAGAGATGAACCAGGCTTTTGTGGAAGTAAGAACTTTGGGGAGCTTGCTCCTGAATGGGTTTTTGGTCCCCAACTGCTTATTAGAATTTTCTTCTGCTGTATTGTATTAATTGCTTTTTAAAAAAGCCTTATATGGGTATGCTTATTAAAGCTTTATGATTTCTTTCAATTATCTAAATCTGGAAATTTTTGGAACATTTAAACCCTCTTTTTCATTTCCATAATTTTGGACCTTTTGAATGTTTTCTATTTATGTCTTAGTGCAGGGGCTAGAAAGCTTTCTCTGAAGAACCGGATGGTAAATATTTTTAACTTCGTACAGTTTGGCCAATGGTCATCACATGCCTGCCAGGCCACAGAAGACCTCAGAGATGGTCCTTTGGGATCATCTGCTGTGCTGCCCAGTGGCCCCCATCCTGATTCTGGGCATACCACTTCCTTGTTGTTCTTTGTAGTTAATTATATAAGTATGTAACCCTGAACAGGTTAGTCTGGCTTATTTTTTGAGCTGTATGTTAATAAAACTTCCCATTTCTGTTTCAAAGAAAGAAAAAGGCGGATGGTTTGTAGTGAGGGCTTACAGGGGAGTGAGAAACATGTTGTTAGAAACCGGCGTAAGGAACTCCCAGTGTGGCGTCCGGGGTAGCGTCACTGTCATCTGCCGCGCGCGGGGCGGTGGAAAATGTACCTAACAACTCGAATGAACGAGCTAACGTTATTTCTAGCCTGACTGTTGAAGGTAAGGCCTGGTTTCTTCTTCTTGCTTAGATTACCAATGCAATAGGAGACACACTAACAAAGGAGAGGCCTTTAAAACAAGGAGCCGGAGCTCACTGTTTTTAAAGAGTCTAAATTTTTTTAAAAAAAAAAAAAAAAAAAAAAAAAAAGCTAATTATGAATTCTGAGCGAAGATCAATTTCAGGGTGCTCTCAGGGAAGTACAGTATAAGGCAAAAGCTATGGGTGTAACTGTAAAATTCTCTGTTAAGTTCACAGAAAGAGCAAAAGTAGTGCCTCATTTCAGAAAAACAAAAGATCTGTAAAGAGTGTACTTCAACTAGCCTTCTAGAAAACTTGGTATTTTTCTGCAGTTATCTCAGCAGGAGCTCTCTGCAGAGAAGCTCAAAGAGATGAATGTGTTTGGGCTTTTGGGAATGAAGTGAACCCCAGTGAAATTCATAGGAGCCTCCAAAACATTTTTAAAATAATTATTATCAGCCCAAGCATGGCCAGTTTGAACTGAAAAGGACAGAGACAGTAAAAATACAAACACATAATACAAACACACATATATACATACATACAAACATGCATAAATGAGAATCTTGGTCTCCCCAAATATTTGCAAGTAGGAAGCACCTAAGAAAACTATGAAGCCACAAATGCTGCCTTTCATTAAAAAGAAAGAATGATTTAGGTGAGAGAACCAAGAACCTAGCAGGTTGGTCCAAGGGTTATGCAGAGATATTTCAGGGCAAAATAGGACTAAATCCTAACCAAGTATCCTTGATATAT